CCACATCTGGGGCCTGTCCACTTTTTGTCTTCCAAACCCCAGTGTCCCGTTGCTCACTGACCCAACTCAACATCTTACCTTTTTGCAACCCAAGACCATCTGCTCCAACACCCACCTCCAGTCTTTCCTCCTTACTTTTTGCCAATAACTTTCTAAATCACACACGGGACCTCATGACTGCCTTGCACACCACCTTTCCACGGCTCCCTATTGCCCATAGGGTAAAAACATCTAAGTTCCTTAACACAGTCTCCAAGACCCATCAGAACCCTTCATGACCCATGCCAATCTTCAGCCTCAGATCCTACTGGCCGGCTCTCAAACTTACCCCTGAACTCATGGATATCTCACTTTCCCAAGCCTAGAAGCTTACAGGAATTGGGGTGCGTGCACATAGTCTCTGGTCTCCCCTCAACGCAATGCCATTCAGGACCACGGAGAGCGTCACCTGGGAGCCCCCTCCCCCTGCCCTTAGTCGGGCTCTGCTTCCGGGGTCTACCCAGCTCACTCCTCTCCCTTTCCATCAAAAACCCAGCACAGATCAGGACTTCCTCCAGGAAGCCCTCCTTGACCCACCTGGAAAATGTCCTCCTCTGGGCTACTTGAGTAACCTGTGTATGCTTCCTTCCCTCCAAACACGTTGTGTTGATTATGTTTGTACAAAAGTCTACTCCCCGCCCCCAGCACACCTCCCCCCCCCCCAACCATGAGCCTCAGGGGCCTGTACCCCATCCGATTCCTCCCCACAGCCCAGTGCAGAGAAGGTGCTCGGAGCATGTTTGTTGATTGAATGAGTAAATGACATTTAGCAGGTGCGCAGGAAGGGTGTGTTGATTTGCATCGAGTTCCCTGTTGCTCTGAGTGACTCAGACACCACCAGATTCCTCTCCTGGCCCCTCTGGAAGAGGCATTTTCTCCCGGACGGACTCCACCCTCCATCAGCATCCATGTGCCATTTGCCTCCAACCTCTGATTACCTTTCCCACAGGTCAGCACCCAGCCCCGGGGAGATGGCAGCCCCTCTTGGCTCCCGCCGTTGCCGTGCAGGGGACTCGTCCAGGTTGCTCCATCCCCCAGCCTGGGCCTGCCTCGCGAGTTCTGCTCAGAATGCTCTGTCCCTGCCTCTCTCTCCTGCCCAGAACAGATGGCTGAGTCCCCACGAACACAGAAGTCCCTGTTCTGTCATTTGAACATTTTTAATGCTTTCTAAATGATCAAAGCTTCAGTCTTCTCTGATCGGGGACTCCGACTATCAGAAACAAAGGATCCTTGAAGGACTCTGAGCCCAGCTTCTTCCCGGTCCCGATCCCGCCAAGAGGCTGCATCTGAGAGGGGGCCCGTGGCCTGCCCAAGATGGTTATGATGGACCCCGTCTCTGCTTGTGTTTGTTTCCTTTCACTGTTGTTTTGTTTTGATATTCAGAGTCTCTCCCCCCTTCCCAGCAGCACCCTGGTTTCCTGGGCTTAACGGAGCTAAAAAATGCCCAAGGGTCCCACTGGACTCTCTTGCCCCAGGCTTTAAATCCTGAGTGGGGTGGCAAGAAAACGGAGAAGCTTGTCTGGCACTTTGGGGATGGTCCCCCAGAAGAGGGCTCCCCTGAACTCAGGGGTGGCTAAAGGCCTTCCACATTTGTGCATGATGCCCGGACCACACAAGGTTTCCTGACCGAGGGCCTGGACTTTTCAGAGCCTTTAACAGAGGGCGTACACTGAACCCGGCCTCCTGAATCTGGACCGTGTCCCTTAATTCTCTGAGCCCCAAATATGCTTCCAGCAAATCCCTCCCTTGCCCAGCATGACCACTCAGCTCCTTCTGCACACAGCCCCCCAGCCCCACCGGACAGAGTCGCACAGAGGGGACACACTTTCTTGTGTTACAGGGAAAGCTTGGCGCCAGCGGCACCCCCCTCTATGGCACCCCCCTGCCCGCCAGCTCTATGTCGAGAAGCCGCATTCAACCCAACCGTCCACATTCCCACTCAGACGGGGAGGAAAGTAGGGCACTCCAGGGGATGGGACAGAAACACCCATGTCCGGTGTCGCAGGGACACCATCTCGAGAGTTGGTGTGACCATCTCAAGGCCCGTGTCCCACCCTCCAGGCCTGAGGGCCGTGTGGAAGAAGAGTGGACCTACCGCCGAGCCTCCCCTGCTGGCCCACAGACGCAGAGAAGAGCACACGCACACACCTGCGTGCCGTGATGACACCTGGGAGCTGGAAAGCACATGTTGTCTGGCGCGAGCCGTGAACTCGCGGAGGGAGTGGGTCAAGCTTGAGGGCCTGGGCCTGCTGACCGTACACGCCCCAGGAATGAGGCTATCAAGAGTCTCCAGGCCTCCGGGATTACTCAGAATTGTCCTTTAGGCCAGACAGGTGTGATGGGTTGGCCACTCCTCCGCTCGGCTGAGCGGCTGGGCACCTGTGGCCCCGGGGCGGCAAGGCCTGAGTGACCGCCCGGTGAGACAGGAGTGTGGGAGTGTGAGCAGCTGGCCAGGACAGCCAGCAGAGCAGGCCCAGTCTCTCACCTCCCAGAGGCTGCCGGCCGAGGCCCCCACCCTGCCCCCAAACTTGAGATGAGAACACCGTAAACTCCAAGCTGGGCATTCTGTCCAGCTCAGTCCCAGCCAGCCCCACCCTGCCCAGCCCAGTGACCCAAACCCCGGGATGCACTGAGTCAGAGGAACCCCGGGTTCAGGACTCGAGTCCCAGCTCCCAGCCAGTCTCTCCTGCCCCCAAAGCAAACACAGCCCCACAGGACCACAGAAGACTTCTGCCTTCCCTGCCCCGCACCTCGGTCGGGCCCACCCTCTCCTGGGGGACTGCCCTTCCCCCACACCTTCTCCTGCTGTTGGCCAGCTCCCCCCAACCTGCGCAGAGGCTCTCAGGGGACAGAACCCCTTCCTCTGCCCACAGGGGTGGTGTGCCTCACCTGGCCTGGCGTTTCCCTGCCTGTGTCGGGCTGTGAGGTCCAGGGGCAGGGTCGGATCAGCATCTCCGCCCACCACCTGTTTCCGATCATCCTCCCCAGCCGCTGGACGCTGGGGTGGGGGAGGTAGGGTGACCATTCTGACTCTTGGGAGCCTCTCAGGGCTCCTTTCCAGGGGTGCAGGGTGGAAGGGTCAGGCCTCGGAGCAGGGCTTCCGCGGGCCTCGGCCTGGCCTGTAAGAATCGCACAATGGGGGCTGGAAAAGCCACACTCAACACCCCTCTTAACACACAGCTGGGAGTGTGAGGGACAGGAAGCGTCCCAGGTCATAGCCGGTGCTGCCCAGTGGGTCCTTGGCATCCTGCCCGCCCCCCAGACTGGGCGTCTCCTTCTCAGCAGAAACCGAGTCTGACCGGGGGCTCACACGTTTGGTCTTCATCTGTTTCCGCACAGAGCTCCTAAAACCCTTGGAATTTCCTCAATGCTGAGAGACCTAAAGGTGCCTTTTGTTTGTTAATGAGGGGGCATTTGGGCCCCACGTAAGGGGGGCTGGTGGCTGGGAGAACTCCCAGTCCCACCCCCTGACCTCTGGCGACAGACGGCGGATGGGCTGGAGGTTGAATCAATCACCAAAGCCAATGGGTTAATCAATGGTGTCTGAGTAATGAAGCGTTCACGAAAGCCAACAGCAACAGGGTGGGCGCGTGGGGATGCGGGTGGGTGGGCTCCTGGAGGGGGCGCCGCTGCTCTGCCCCTGCCCCACAGCGCGTCCTGGCCCTCGCTTCCGCCGGCCGCTCCTGAGTGGCGCCTTTTAGTATAAACTGGTGATCTGGGGAGGAAACGGGCTTCCTGGGCCCCGTGAGCCGCTCTAGCCGATTAACAGAACCTAAGGGGGGCTCGGGGGCCTTGGATTTTTGCCCCTGGCCACTCAGGGGTACAGCTGACGACGGGCACCTGTGCTTGGCCTGTCCAGTGGGCAGGGCTGGGGGAGCAGCTTTGTAGGACTGTGCCCTTCCCGGGCGGACTCTGACCCTCTCTCTGGGTACACAAGGTCAGAAACGAGTTGGGGGTAGGAGAAAACTGCTTGGAGATGTGGGAACCCCTGCATACAGTGTGACTGGGTGTAGGCTGTTCCTCACAAGTTCAGGGGCAGCCCATTTTGTGAACTCCAAGGGTGAAACTGTGGGTGAGGGCCTGCTCAGCCTCAGGGTAGCCACTCCTGAGGGTTAGGGCTGAGGACGGGGGACTGAGCCGGAGGGTCCAGCACCCAGAGCTCGCCCTCCAGCAGTAGGGGCAGGGAGGCGAGCACGGAGCCAGCAAGGGTCAGGAGGGGTGCATGAGTCTGGTGCCGGGAGGCAGGCCTCCGCTGGCCAGGCCCAGGGGAGGGGGAGAGATGCTCTTGCTCCTGGGGCAGGAAGAACACGCCTCTCCAGCGCGGCCGGCCTGGAAGCTGCTGGGCTCCTCCTGCGCCCAGCTGCTCCGAACCCAGCCGCAAGAACCCACAGAGCCAGCCCGGCCCACATGCTGTGCCCCAGGGACGGAGCAGCCTCCCCACCCCTGCCTGGTCCCAGGGCAGCTGAGTCCCTGCGGGGTCCAATGTGCCTCCCCTGGGGGCTTGAAGTCACAGCAGCACCAGAGTGGAAGACCCCTCCGAAACTCCCCTCCTTTCTGTTCAGAGGGTGATCCGGCAAAGGAGTGTGCCCTGTGCCCTCCTGACCTGAAGAGGGAGTGGTCCTGGCTGGGGAGCAGCCCTCCTCTTCCTCTCCTGCCCCCACTCCCAGCAGAGACACCCTGGAGGCTCTGAATAACTCGGTTGTTCAGATATCCGTGGGCTTTGTGCCCGCCACGCTTGAATCAGGGCCCAGGGAACCAGGCGCAGGGCCCCAGGCTGGAGCGGCCCAGGCCTCCTGCAGAGGGCACGGACAGCTCAATCCACAGCCCACAGGCTCGGCCAGCACCCCGGCCGGGTGTGAAGCTGTAGCAGGTGCGGCTCAGCCGGCGTCCTGGAGCCTGGGCCAGACGGGCACTGGGGCACTGAGGCTGCGGGGCCGGAGGGAGGGGTGCAGCAGGGGGAGTGGGGCATGGGGGCCTCAGAGGTCCTCGGCGACAGAACCTATGCCGGAAAGCAGGGCTTGGCTCTCGGCGTCCTTGCTGTCGGGGGTCCCTGTGGGAGGGAAGGGGAGGCAGAAGGTGCCTTGGGACCAGGCCAGGAAAACCCTCACTCCTGCTTTCAGAACGCGCTCCGGATGCGACTTCTTCTCCTTACCATCAAGGCCACCCCCAAGGTCCCAGCCCCACTGTTTCCCCTGATGACACAGAGTGTCCTGTGGCCCCCCTGTTTCCACGCTGACCTCCCCAGTCTGTTCTGCACACAGCAACCACAGTCGTGCTTTCACACTATAAATAAAACACCTCGGGGCCTGTCTACAGGAAACGACACAGGGGCTCCCTCTCAAAGTAAAAGCCATGGTCCCTACAAGGCCCCCAGCTGCCTGCTCTGGCCTCATCCCTACCATTGTCCCCTTGCTCCCACTCCAGCCACACTGGCGTCCCTGCCAGGCCTCAGACACATCAGCCACAGACTCACCTCAGGGCCTTTGCACTGGCTATTTGTCTGCCGGGAGCCCCTTCCCCCCAGAGAGCTGCATGGCTCCCTGCCTCCCCTCCTCCAAGCCTCTGCTCCCAGGTCACCTGTGCATCGAGGACCTTTAGGACAATCTTTCAAGAGCTGGAAGCCACGCCCACGTGTTCCCCCTCCTGCCCTGGTCTACTTTACGCTTCTCTGTACGTAGCACTGATCACCCTGAACGTACTCTGTCTTCTGCTCTTCCTATCTGTTTCTCGTCTGTCTTTCTGCCCTAGAGCACCCTGGGTGTTCACCCCCCGCATCTGGCACATAGCTGGGGGGACGAGGGGGTTAATGGCCACTTTTGAACAAACGGACAAATTAACAAGTGAGATTGCTCGGGGCGGCCTGCGCCGCTTGCTCCCGTGAGGCACAGCCCCGAGCCTGGCACGGGGGTGAGGGCTAGGGGTACCTGTGCCAGGCTGCCGGGCCCGGGCCTGGTCCGTCTCCAGCCGCAGTGCGGTCAGCAGGAAGCAGCCGCCCCCCAGGGCTATGACGAAGGCGCAGACCAGGAAGCTGTGCTGGAGGCTGAGGAAGGACTGCAGGTAGGAGTCACGCCGCGCGGCCCTCAGGGTGCCGGAGATCTGCAGAGACAGGCTGCGTCTGCCCGCCTGCCCGCCGGCCTGCAGCAGCTGTCCCCGCCCCCGCTGGGAACCCTCCCCTTACAAGTCCAGTGAGGTAAGGGCTGCCGGCGTCTCCCAGGACATGGCCCACTGTGATCTGAAGCGCCTCGGCTGTCCCCCGGCACCGGGGCACCACCACGGACTGCAAAACACAGGGGCGTCAGGGGAGCTCCCGAGGAGGGCAGCGCGCGTGCGCCCCTCCGTCCCGCCTCCTGCTCCCGCCTGGACCTCCTGGGAGCTGCGACAGGCTGGCCAAGCCAGTGGGACCACGGGGAGTCAGCGATGCCCCACTACCGGGACATCAGGCCCCTCCGAGGGCTGGGGATGCCATGGTCCGGGATGAGGCCCCACTCCTCGAGGGCTTGCTGCGGGGCTGGCAGGGACCAGGCCGAGCTGGGACTCAAGGGACGGGGCATCCCAGCTCAGGGCGAGGAGGCAGGAGTGCAGGCCCGCATGGGCACACATGGGTGCCCAGACAGGGCCCAGAGGGCTGGGCCCTTCTCCCAGGAAGTTCAAGCCACACTGGGCAGAGACCAAAGACAGCCCTGTTGGAGAGACCCCCACGCAACCCCTGGAAGAGGGTATGAATTCTGGAACAGAATGTCTGAGCTCCAATCCCAGACACCCCACTCACGAGCTGTGTGACCTCAGGGTCTGCATCCCCAAACAGGGGTACTCAGAGGACCTACTGGGGGGACAGGTTCATTACCATTCTTCCTGTGGACAGCAGACCGAAATAATGTCCCTGACCCCAGAACACTTCCAGACCCTTCTGCCTAGCCAGCCTTCCCCGTTCTGGCCCAGCCGGAGCATCCCTACTTGTCCTTCAGGACAGACTTTCCCAGATTTCGGGGGCCTGCCCTACAGCCCCTGTGTGTACCCTAACTGAACGCGCACCCCCTACCCTGTCCTCCCCCTACCCCCACACTGTCTGGGCAGCAAGGTCCCCGTCCGCGTTCTCTCACGCTCCCTGGAGCACAGCAGGGCGCCAGGCTCAGAGGGGTCCTGCCGAAAGTCAGTCAAGCGGACGAGCCCAGTAGAACCCAGCCGGAAGCCAGGGGAGGGGTTCAAGCAGCGGCCACACAGTCCCAACGGGAGGTACTCCCCCCAGAGCCCCTTTCCCAAGACCTAGGTGTCCATAACCTGAGCCCAGGTGAGAAGATGGAACACATGTGACGTGGATGAAATGTCTCCTGTCTGCGTCCTCTAGATCTCCCGCACATCTACATCCACTCAGCCACGCCAAGAGGGAGGTAGGATGACAATCCCTGTGTCACAGATGAGGGCACTCTCCCTGGGGAGAGTGGGTCACCTCTCCAGGGTCACCCTGCCAGGAAATAGCCCGGCCCACTCCTCCAGGATCTGGCCGTCGACCGCTCTGCTGTTACAAGCAAGGAGGAGCCTGTCCTGTGATCTCTGTGCGCTGTGGCTTGGAAGGCAGAAAGAAGGACAAGCTCAGCTCTGCACGCGGCTGAGGCAGAGGGAGGGGGAATGGGTGATGCCGGGGGCCCCGGGCCAAACACTGAGCCGCTCTGTCCAGGTGGCCAGAGAAGCTGGACCTGCCCCCCCGCACCGGGACCTGCCATTAGGCCGAAGGAGCGAGCTCAGCTTTGCACCAGCCCCTCGTGCCTCCTTCTTGCCCATACTTAGGGGATTACGCACCGCTGGTCCTGGAGGGTGGCCCTCGGGGAAGTCCACGCCAACGGCTTAGATCCTCGGTCAGGTCCCTTCCACGCCCCCGGGAAGTGCTGGGCCCAGACCAGCCCCTTGCTATCGGGGGCAGGAGTGGTAGGTCCCCAACATGTTCTGTCCTGTTGCCACCAAATGACGCCGGTGGGGTGGGGGGAGCAGGCAAAGCTGGCAATTTTAGAAGGACAAGCTTTGGGCTCCTAAAACGGCAGGCCCACTCTATTCTGAGACAAAGCACCTCTGTTTCTGACTCCCCTTTCTCAGAAGAGCTGTTCCCTTTGTAGCCTTGGGCATAACCCACACCGGCCAAGGGCCCACAGGACGTCAGAGCGGCAACCACCAGGTACGCACTCCCTGGCAGCCTGCCTCCTGTGTTCCCCACTCAGCCCCCACAGCCAGCTGCGCTGGGGAGGGTGGGACGGACGGGTGGGCAGAACAGGGAGGCACTGAGAGTACCGGGATGCAGAAAGAACGGGACGGTGATGCCCTCAGGGGGCGGGGGATACTGGCAGAGGGGGACCCCAGAGGACCGACCTGACCTGGGAGAGATGGTGAGTTCCACTTCTGCTCTACTCCCTGCTGCTGGCTGTGGGGAGCCTAGCTCCAGGCCCCCCTCGTGGGCCTTGCGAGAGAGCTGGAGACACCATCAGTCAGGGGCGTAGGGAGCTCAGCCTGGGGGGATACGACCCCCACCTCCCGGGGAGCAGAACCCTCGAGAGAGGGGCTGCTGGAGGTGGGTGAGGGAGCCAGACCCTTTCCCTCATGAGCCTTCAGGAGGCAGGGGCGTCTTGGGGCTCAGGGGGTGACCCTCCCGTCAGAGGGGTATGGGATCAAGGACGGAGCCTGCAGGGGGTCCACGGACTGGGGAGCCGGCTGTGTCAGAGCGGTGTTCTCCCCGGGTGCTCTGAGGAGCATCCCTATCAGGAGCACGTGGGACGTTTGTGTCCTGAGGAAGCAGAATTTGTAAGGAGATCCCCACACCTGGTTCCTACGATCACTGAGGTGCTGCAGCCCCTGGCCCAGCCAGCCCCTGAGATCTCTGCCCCAGGGTGAGCCTGGGTTCTCCTTGTGCACCGGAGGGCCAGAGAGCAGGCTGTCTGTCGTGGGCTGATGCCGGGCGACCCCCAGGATAGGCAGGGCAGGCAGCCAGCTGTTGGACCACGGGGCCTCCTGCCCTCCTGTGCAGGCTTCTAGCCCGGATCCCACCCCTGCTAGACCCCTCTCAAGGTCCCACCCTCCCTGCCCGTGAGGAGCCCCCTGCCTGAGTGCTGGAAACCAGCTTCCTCCGATCCTCGGGGCTCTAGCTACCCCCCAAACCCCCTCCGTGCCCAGCTACTTGCACTCTAGGCCTCTGTCACCTTCCACACCTGCCCCTCCACGGCACACGGCCCGCCCCCCACAGCCTGTCCCCCACCTGCCTTCGGCCCAAGAGCACTCCCTCCTGGAGCCTCCCCACTTTCTCTGAGCTCCAAGGACTGCAAGAATCAGTCAGCTCAGAACCCCGTGGGGTCTAAAGGCGACCTTTCACTGAGGGGCTTCCGGAAGCGGGGGCAGAAAGCTTTCCTGGGGTGGAGAGACTGGCTGCCTCCAAGCCCAGGGAGGACCGCAGGGAGCACAGCCCCCTGGGCAGCTCCAGACAGCTCCCCAGCAGAGCCAGCCGGGTCAGGCCACGGCTGGCTGGCCCTGACCCCCACACCCCCGCGCCTCCCCTCCCCTGCCCCTAGCACAGGCACAGCCCTGCAAAGGTCCTGGAGGTTAATCATTCCTGCAAACACAGACACCGGGTGGGGAGGGGGGACACGGGTGCCGTCCTCGCATATCTGCAGGGCTGCCGTGTGGAAAGCAGGCGGCATTGTGGGGGTGGAGGAGGCTGCAGGGGTGGGTTCCCAAGATGCCAGTACGGGGGGTAGCTAAGGTCCCCGTGCCTAAAATGGGGAGCCCCAGGTTAGACGTTGGCCGGTACATTCCCGAGTACAGAGAGTTCTCCTGAAGGCCACCGGGCTGACCCTACCAGGCTGGTCATGAACACCTCTCTTCACAGGAAGGAAACTGAGGCCCAAGGCCGTTCGTTGCGGCCAAGTCTGGGCAGGAGCCCAGGTCCTCTGCCTGGAGGGAGGAGCAGAAAAGACCCATCAGCCCTGCAGCTGATACACCCCCAGGGCGTCAAAGGGCAGCACTGTCCACACCCACTGAGCCTGGGCTGTGGAATCGGGGGCGGAATGTCTAGGCAGGGAGTGAGCCTCTCCATCAACAGCAGTAATCAAGCAGGCCTGAATGGCCCTTTCAAACTCAGCTTTGAGGGCACAGGAGCCCTTGGGCAGCCAAGAGACGGAACGGGCAGAGCCGTGGCCGGCACCCTTGTCACATCACACCCATAATAACCCACGAGTATCTCACCCCATTGTCCGCATGGGGAAACTGAGGCCCAAGACACAGAGTGGCTTGCCCACGTCACACACGGCTAGGAAATGGCAGAGGCGAGGCTGAAGTCCAGGTGTGGGCCAGGCCCTGGCCCCAGCTGCCTCAGGACTGCGCTCAGCCCATCACCAGGCTCCCTGGCTCTCCTGGGTGTGGGCTGCACCATGGCAGCCCCCCAGGAGGCAGGAGGAGGCCCAGGTCTGGGGCCCTGAACAAAGCTCGCCAGCATCCAAAGTCCTCCCCTGACGTCTCCTAGCGGGAGGTGGGAGGCTGGACAGGGAAGCTGCACGGAGAGCACGAGGCTCGGTGAGGGCCACACCACACTCTGGGCAGAGCGGCGTCACGTGCTGGGCTGGCACCAGCCGCATTTCAGCCCGAGCCGGACCCACCCCCCAGCTCGGTGGCTATCACCCTGAAGTCCCCCATCCCCGTCCACATGCCCAGAGCCCAGGCCACAGAGCTGGCTTGCTGAGAAGTGCGGTCAAGGAAGAGGCGGGGCTTGAGACCCAGCCTGGGCTCCTGTTGTGGCTCGGTGCCTTCGCATGCTGTGTGACCTTGGTCTGGGCACCTGCCCTCTCTGAGCCTCCACCTGCTCATCGGCAAAATGGAGGTGATGGTCAGTAGATATGTTTGAGAGTACCAGGATGACCTCCGTCCCCTACCCCACGGTCTCGGAAGGTCCTCCCAGCCCTGAGCCAGACTCCAGCCCCCGCCCCTCAAGAGGCCCTGGGACCAGCCCCCACACCTACCAGCAGGATGTCAGCAACCACCGCCCAGTTGCAGGACAGAAGCAGCTCCCCGAGGACCAGGAACACCTGTGGACAAGGACCCCAGTCACCAACACCCCCTGCATTGGTTCTTCCCGCCTGCAGAGAGACAGGGGCCGGCGAGATTGGTGGCAAGAGAGGCCGAACCCCGTCTGTAGTCCTGGCGGCCTCCAGGGTGGGTCGACCCTCCCGTCTGGGCAGGCTGCCAGCCAGGACCCAGGGGATGGGGCCGGGCCCCGAGCCTTGATAAACAGCCCCCAGGCCCAGGCCTTGAGGTCCCACCTGGGGCCCAGCAGGAGGGGCCAGGACTTCTAGGCCCCGTCCTGCACCACCACCCCTGCCCTGCCACCTGCCCCACCCCAGGGTCTGCCGGTGACCGGGGCAGGTGGGTGGCCACTGTGGGCCTGTGTTGCCCTGCCCCCTGAGCCCCCTGCCCCATGCCAGGGGATTAGGACAGCCTTCATTCCACTCACTCAGGAAGAGCTTAATGAAGCAGCAAGAAGTGGGGGAAAGTCATTTCTCAGAGCTTCCAAGAGCTTATTGCTGGAGCGGAATTAGTCATTCCTGGAGTCACGGGGCTGTGCCCAGGGCAAACCACGCTCTGGTTCCCGTAGGCCAGCGAACACCCAGGGCAGCGGAAGTACAGAAGGCTGGCTTGCGCCTCCCACACCCCAGCCACGTCCACCGTCACCCTCTCGGCCACCTGCATAGTCCAGGGTCATTACACCCAGCTCCCAGGCCTAGACACCAAGCCCCTTTCTGGAGAACCTCACTCCTGCCTCTGGCCTTCTGCAAGGGGAAACTGGCTGAGGGGAGTCAGAGGGAAGCCCAGGACGGGGCGGCCTTGCGGGGAGGTGGCACGGAGCAGAGCCCAGAAGAAGGGGCAGGATTCCCCAGGAGGCAAGCAGCTGGAATACGGACCCCCGTGCTGGGGGCAGCAGAGCGAGCTCCCTCAGTGCAACCAGCCCCTGTCTCCCCCCAGACCGAGGACCTCTGCAGCCCGGGGCTGGGCACCCGCAGGCTGGGGATCGGGAAGTCGCTGGGGCAGGTCTCAGACCCACATCTCAGCCTGACGGGGTCCCACCCAGGCCTCCTGCGGCCACATGAAAGCCAGCCCGCTCTCATGGCCCTCCATGAGCCACCTGGACGGTCGTCCGTCCTGTCCTCACACCCCACACCCTGGGCAGGATGCCCGTGTCTCTCCCCTGCTCCCCCACACCCACAGGACTGAAATATGCCTTCTCCTTCCTCCAGCTGGAGCAGGGTGGAGCCCGACCCCAGAATAGAGCCTGCAGAGGGAGGCAGCAGCCGCAAGCCACCATGGGTGCCAGGTTTCCTGAGACACACCTGGAAACCGCCCGGCCACCCAACCGCCCAGTGCGGCTTGGCGGGGCAAAGGCCGGGTAGGGAGTGGGGAGCGGCTGCCTCCTGGCCTCTTAATTACACAGGCTCCCCAGGCGCCAGGAGGGCTCGCCCAAGAAGAGGCGGCCGCGGCCCCACCTGCCTTGCCCAGCGACCCTGGGAGGTCACCACTCTCTGGGCCTTGCTTCCCCCGACCCAGAAGGCAGTGGGCTTCCCTTGTGCCCCTGTGTCCCCCGTGGGCTGCGTACAAATGCGGTCTTGGAGCTCAGGGTCTCCTGTGGCCGACTCAGACTCAAGTGAACACCCCAACCAAAGGGCCCCAGTCTGCCTGGCTGTCCAGCCCCAGGACCTCCTGGATGCCCTCCTGTGCCCAGAGGGCCCCGGGCACCTCTCACCAGCTGGTCCTGAGCTCTGTCTCTCCTCCTGGCTGCCACACCCCGGCACTCACCCCGTGCAGCCGCGCCAGCCAGGACAGACCCCAGCACAGGCTGCCCCAGCAGCCCGCCGTGGCTGCCTCTTGTCTGGGAAAGCCTGCCACATGCGGTCACCTGAACTGGACGTGGGGTGGGGGTCCTCCAGGCTTGCTGTCCACTCTGCTTCCTAACATCGCTCAGATCGGTCCCCCTCCTGCCACGGCTGACCTGTTCCAGGCCTCCCTCTCCTCCTCCCCGGTTCCCAGGCCCCACTATGCCTCCTGACCCTAGCCCCCAAGGGGACTGGCAAAAGGGAAATCTGACCCTGCCCTTGTTCCCTCAGCACCTGTGCAGCGCCCCGCACCCGACTCATGTCCCCGGGAGAGAGGGCCTGGCAACGCTGCCTGGAGCCCCCCAGCCCCCTTCCCCGTTTCAGACCCAAGACGGCCCCTGGGGCTGGAGCAGTGATGATGAATGTCCCGGCCTTGGTCACCCCGGCCAGAGACACGCACTCACACCCGTACGCACCTGCCATGACTCACGCACACATTCTCACACACACTGCAGCCACACGAGTGTGCACAGATGCACATGTGTGCAAGACCTCACCATGTGCACACCGCGTTTGCACACATACGCGGACACGCATAACCCGGGACACACAACTCACACCGCAAGCATGCGCTGCGTAGCCAACAGCGATGACTCAGAGCATTGCTTCGTGTGGCGTGTGCCGGCAGACAGCGGCATCCAAGCTGGCCAGACAGCGGGTCCGTGCCGGGACGGGCCTGCGGGCAAGTGAGCGGGTCCACGTGTGTTCTGGTGACCTCGCAGACATGCACACCTCTCCTCATGCACACACAGGTGGGCGTGGGGAGGGAGCGGGAGGGAAGGCAAAATGCCTACGGGGAGAGGGTGCTCAGCCCGGAGGTGGGGAGGGGCTGTTGTCCCGCAGCGGCCGTAACTGAGCTCTGAACTGCACAGATCCTAGGCCTCGCCAGGAAGGGGGACGGCAAGCAAGCATCCCCCATGGACTCCGAAGATGGGGACGGAGCTCAGACCTGAGCTTCCCCTCCCTCGGACCAGCTCCATGCCCTGTGTGGCTAAGCTGGGCATGACAGGCCCCGGCACACGCTGGCCGCCAGCAAGCTGCCGGGCTGGCTGGCACACTCTGCCCCTGGGCCTGCCATCCGGTAATTGCAGGGACTGGCTTCAGGGCGCGAGGGCCCCACTCAGTTCCTGGGGGGCCGGCGGCCTGGGAGGCAGGTAGGCGGGGAGCGAGGCCATGAGCAGGCTGGGTTCTGCCATCCTCCTGGAAGACTCAGCAGACTGAGGCCCTCTAGGTGGGCATTGCTGCCCGTCCAAGAAGAGACACCTGCTAGATCCTGGTGGGGGTGAGGCACGGCCCTCAGAGGAAGGGCGGGTGGTCCCTCTTGGTCTCTCCACACTGCCCCTGGCAAGGCTGGCTACTCCAGCTCAAGAGCAAGACAAGGAAAAGCCCCCCCAGGACAGGGTTGTTGGATGGCTCCCCAGAGCTGGGGCACCTGCACAGCCCAGCTGCCAGGCCACCCCAGTGGCCAGAGGCTCCTCAGCCACCCCTGACCATAGCTGTGGTGGCCACACATAGTGGCTGAGCCTGCCAGCTCCTCCCGGAGCTCCTCCCGGCGGGACAGATCCCCCCATCCGGGTCCTTGCTCTGGAGTCCTCAGGGCTGAGAGGGGTGGCATCCCCTACCAGAGGGTGAGGCCGTGGTGACCGCTGAGCGGGCACCTGGAGCGGGGTAGAGACTCCGAGTTTGGATCTCATTCAGGCTGGAAGGGGCCCTACCCATCGTCTGGGGCAACTCCCAGGCACAGACAGAGGGCTGGATGGTACCACTGACTTCCCTTCCCCCCAGAAGGGAGAAGGAGTGAGTCGGAAACAAATTGTTTTTCATCCAAGAACAAAACCTAATGGCACAAACATGGCATACTGGTAGCGAAGGGAAGAGAGAGACAGACAGTTCTGGAGGGCAGAACTTCTCCGCCCAGCCTCCCCAAAGCCCCCACCACTGGGGGAGTAGACTGAGTGGGGGTCCTTCGTTCCCACTCCTAACTGGGCACCAGTGGGGGTCTGCTGGGGAGAAGTGGGGAGAAGCAGAGAAGGTGAGTGATGACCCCGTTCTGTTCGAGGCCAGAGGGGCTCACAGGGAAGGTAGGTAGGAGGACTCTGTGCTCACCAGAGCTTTGATCTACCTCCCAGAGGGCCGCAGGTGCCAGGCGTCAAACGAGGACTCCCAATGCCTTACCAGAACCCCAGGGAAGCCTGGGACCTGACCGGAGCCTGACCAGAACCCCAGAGAAGCCTGGGAGAGCCACTCCGAGGGGTCAGAGCAAGCTCAGCAACACAGCAGAGCCCACGCCCAGGCTCAGCACAGAGGACGGAGAGGAATGAGAAGGGCAGAGGAGACCGGGACTCCCTTACCAACGGACCCGGCTGGCGCCTTCCCAGCCCACACATTTGAAGGTGTGAAGGGCTGGGAGACAGAGGCTCACATGGCAAGCACCAGCAGCCAGGAACCGAGGCCCGAGGCCCACGACACACAAGGGTCTGAGAGCTGCCAACGACCACCCCGTGAGCCTGGGCGTGGGTCCCTGCCCCGTCGGGCTTTCAGATGACACCGTGGACCCTGGGCCAGCACCCACCTCGGCCTTGGGGAGACCGTGAAGCGGAGGGTCCCACCGGGTCCGGCCCAGCACCTCACCCAAGATGCTTAGAGACAGCACGCATATTGTCTTAAACGGCCGAGTTCAGGGTGATTTGCCTCACAACACGAGATAACTCATTCGCTGACTGGTACACTGAATTTCAAGAATAATTAATGAAATCTTCAGGTATCCAGCTGGGAAAAAGAACCAACACGTAGGATTTTTTTAAACGTTAGGGTAACTAGGGGCACCTGGGTGGCTCCATCGGCTACAAGTCTGACTCTTGGTTTGGGCTCAGGTCATGTCTCGTGGGTCATGAGATGGAGCCTGCGTGGGGCTCCGTGCTCAGTGGTGTCTGCTTGATGTTCTCTCCCCTGCCCCTTCCCGCACTCATGCTTATGCTCTCTCTCAAATAAACAAAATCTTTTTAAAAATTTAAGCTAACTTTATCCTCCATAGCAATATTTGAGCCAAAACACAAGAGAAGGAATGCAAAGAGACAAGGAAGGAAACTGATCCCAGGGTATTAGAGCCAGTCAGTGCTGCTCAAGGAAGAGTCGACGGGAACACGGCCTCACAGACAAAC